AATATAATATTAAATAATTATTTAATATTAAATATTTATAATATAATTTAATATTTAAATATTAATAATATTTAATTTATATATATATATAATACTTAAAACATAATTATAATAATATATCGATAATCGTATATATTATTATTATTATTATTATTATTAACTATATATATATATATATATATATATGTATTGATAAATCAGACACACTTGATTACTATATCTCATCATATTTAAGGATGATACTTCATTGACAGGATTGTCGGTGATCAAAGTTAAGTCGAAGTCCTTTAATTCAGGAACAACATTCCCCTCCCCTTTCACCACCTCTTCCTCATCATTTTCCTCTTGTACCACTTCCAACCCTTTATTTTTATCGATAATATTTCCTTCCAAGTCGTTAATCATTTTACACAATTGCTCGAACGAACCGTTACTATTATTATTATTATTATTATTATTATTACTATTATTATTATTATTATTATTATTAATATTAATCGGTTCTATTAAATTGTCATTAGAATCGCTATTATTAATATCGAGATTTCTTATTTTCAATTTAACATCGTTAACACATTTGTCGGTTTCCGATGCAATGTTATCCGCGTTATCGATCAAATCATTTGGAATATCTCGTACTGTATCATTATTATTAATAATATGATGATTATGATGATACAAATCTTTGATGATTTCCTTAGGATTGCTGTTGGTGGTCATCCTTATTGGAGGATATTTTTTTATCGGTGGTTTGCCATTCAGCATCGGATGATTTATGTTTATCATCTTGTATTCTTCATAAAGTTTATAACATATTACAACACGTTTTTTTTTTTTTATTTATCTTTTATTCTTTATTAGTATTATTAATATTAATATTAATATTATTTATTATTATTAATATCTATTATTATTATTATTATTATTATTATTATTATTAATTTAATTTAATTTATTTTTTTTTTTCTGTTGCTTTTATCTTATCTTTTATCTTTCCTACTTCGTATTACAAATCACTCACGTTAGTAAACTTTTTTTATTTTTTATTTTTATTTTTATTTTTTTTTCACAAGATCTTAATTCTTTTCTGTTTCATTTTCCAAAGTTTTATTTTAATGGCTGTAATTATTTATTTATTCTTTGTTAAATTCGGTTTATATTTATACATACATTTTTTCTTCTTTTTTCCTTTTTTAACCTGGTTGTATTTTATTTATCCTTGAGATTAATATTATTAATTCTTCTTAGGGTTATACTTTCCTATACCTCGAATATAATAACACAACACCTGATTTTCTTAACAGTTCCACTTTCTATTAACAACTAAAGTCCTACGCACGTGTATTAATCGACTTTTTTTTTTTTATATACGACGTTGGAAAAAAAGTGTCCCTTTTTTTTTCTTTTCTTTTCTTTTCTTTTCTTTCTTTTCTCATGTAACTCTTATTTACTACCACTTTCACGGTCGTTGAGGGGGTAATACCAAGGCAACGGCTATAAAAACATTACGTACTCGATGGTGTATATTATACTGCGTTATTATAGCAGCAGAACGGCAATATGTATGATGTATATATCTATATATATATATAAGTGTGTTATGGTTTTTATTCGACTAATGTGTATGTGTGTGTTTCCTTGTTTCTTGTTCATGTATTAGTTTAGATGATTATGGTGTTAGTAGTGGTGGTGGTGGTGGTGGTGATGGTGAAGGTTAATGACGGCGTGACGCATCTTCCAATCGCATAATTTTTACGATACAATAATAATTAATAATAATAATAATAATTAATAATAATAATAATAATAATAATAATAATAATAATAATAATAATAATAATAATAACGAGTTATCGAATGGTATCATTTATCATTGACTTATTAGATCGATTTTTGGTTTGTTGTTGTTTTTTTTTTAAATATTAAATAGTATAGAAAAATGATAATTAAAATAAGAAAACTTATTAATAGAAATAATCTAATTAATATAATTTATCTTTTTTTTTTTATCTTTCTTTCGTTCTTTTTAAACTTTCGTTCTTGTTCTTTTTCACTCTCTCTCTCTCTCTCTCACACACTCTCTCACTCTCACTCTTCTCTCTCTCTCTCTCTCTCTACGGTGTATAAGTATATTACGCATGAAATGATTGAAAACTGACACAACACTTCGTCTTGGTTTTTTTTTCTTTTTTTTTTTTTTTTGAGTAAATCGTTTTTACTAATGTTTATTAATAAACATTTTTTTTTGTTTTATATAGATTAATGTTAATTTATTATAATTTTTTTTTTCTTTTTTTTTTTTTAATATCGATCGTATTATTCTTCAATCCGTCGTGACGTTCATAATTATTTTTCCTTTTTGGTTTATCTCTCTCCCTCTCTCTCTCACTCTCACGCTCCCTAAATCCCTTTTTTCTATCCCTTTCTCTTTGTTTTTTATGTTTTTTTTTTTTCTACTATCGTGTTACGTTTTGTTCTATCTCTCTCTCTTTCTCTCTCTGTCTAACAACCACCCACCCTCCCTCCCTTTTCACGCTCATAAGCTCTCGTCTGTATTTTCCTCATTTTATTTTTATTTAAATTATTATTATTATTATTTTGTGTGGTTTCGTATTTCTCGTATCTCTCTCATTTTTTTTTCTTTTCTTTTCTTTTCTTTTCTTTTCTTGTTTAATTTTTTTTAATTTTTTTTTTTTTATTTTTTGTTTCGTTCTCGTTCGTTAATTCATAGTTTATCGTTATTTACACTATTCAGTATAAAATGCGAGTTCAAAGATTAAATCACACCACTATGTTTTAATTTATTATTATTATTAATTTTTTTTTCTTTTTTTTTTGGACACTATCTGTCATCGATTAATAATTATCAATGCTTGTACTCAGGAAAATGCGTAGGGGGCAGTAGGGCAGTATTTTCGTTATCACTAGTGTTGTTGGTATTTAATTCTTTAGGGGAACCATTATTTATGTTACAATCTAGACTAAATTTATCGTCTAGTGGTGGTGGGCATTTGTTATTAATATTAGGCAAGTGATTAACATCGATTCCACGAACGTCAGGGAGCTTTTTCGCTTGGGTTTGAGCGTTTCTCGTAAGATCATCGTTCGCGAGGACGCTGCTGCTGCTTGTGCTGCTGTCATTTAAGGGTGGGGATGGATAATAACCGCGCTGCTTAATTGGCAGTTGTTCCAACGGCAGTTGTTGCTGTTGCTGTTGCTGCTGCTGCTGCTGTTGTTGGGGTGGTTGTTGTTGCTGCTGTTGTGTTGCTGGCGGTTGTTGTTGTTGTAACTGCTGTTGCTGCTGGTGGTGATGATGGTGGTGATGATGATGGTGTTGTTGTTGTTGTTTCTGCTGCAATTGCAACTGCAACTGCACGGCTGTCGTGGTAGGCGCGGTTGATGGTGGTGGCGGTTGTTGTGGTGGTCGGTGCTGTACCCCTTCCTCACTCGTCCACCGGGCTAATTGTTGTTGAGCTTGAATAAACGTATCACTAGAAAATAACAAGATTACACGAGCCCATTGGATCTATTCCTCGACCACTAATGCTGCATGCGAATGCCGTGTTTTTAAACGGTCTTTCGTTCGGCGACACACGATTTAACACAGGCTTTTAAAGGATGGATCCTCTTGGAACTTGAACTTTGTAAAACGGTGATGGTGATTGTGAGAAGATGGTATAGTATAGAGGCATTGCAAAAGAGATTTTTGAAGTGAAAACTTCTTTAGAATTGGGAAGGAGTGATTTGAAAAAGGATGCGTTGAAAAAGCGACAGGTAGCGATAATAAACAAATCAAACTAATTTCGATGAAACGAAAAGAAGAGACAAACATATCATTTAGCCTAAGAGAGAATGAGATAGAATATATACTATATTTTATAATTATAGTTAATTTTTTATGATTATTTATAAAAAACATTACGCCTGTAGAGATGCAACCCTTCAGACACACTTTGAAAATGTTGCTTGCGAGCGCCATCTGTTGAGACGGCATATTTTTTCACTTCAAACTGTTTATACACGTATGTATTACAGGTTGCCTATCTTTCGGGCAGAACAAAAATTCCGTTCCAACAGATGGTGCTCGCAAGCAATATTTTCAAACTGTGTCTGGAGGGTTGCATTATTACAGGCGCGCATTTTTATAATTATTTAAATAAATAGTTACAATATAAAGTAAAAATAATATTATAATAATTTATCATACTTCTGATACTATGCATTCGTCTTATTCTCTCGAAAGTTGCTTTTTTTGAAGGTTTCACTTCTAACTTGTGCAATGTGCACACATGCACATTTTTTTAATTTGTTTTGGATACGTGATGATCTCAAATTTTTATCGTGCATCTAAATTTGATCATAACAAAAGCTTAAAACATTAGTTCATGCTTATGATTATCATATTTTAAATATAATACAAGCTAATTATATTTAAGTGCATTATACGTGCGTGTTTTTTTGTTTCTTAATTTTTAATTCCTGTCTAATTCAAGGATATACTATATATATATATATCTAATTTTCTAAGATTATATTATTATAATAATAAAAAAAGGAATTATTTAGTTATTTATGTGTTGGAGGAATGAAATGAGAGGCAGTTTGATAAAAGCGGAACATAGAAAGCATCGATAGCGATTCTAATTGCCGAGGAAAGCGATTAGCGAACTACTTTGTTTATTTTTATTTTTTTTTTTTTTTACCATATATACACATAGAGATAAATTTTTATGTATTTTTGTTTTTTATTGGCAATGAAGATATGTAAATGTTCAGATAAGGATGAGTGCGAGCCATAATCAATGTCCTACATTTTTCTTTTTAAATGTATACATATATATATATATAGAAAGCATCGATAGCGATTCTAATTGCCGAG